ACTCGCGTGGTACAACTCGCTCGAGTGCTCCTCCCTCGGCAGGAAAAAGTTGCGAGCAAAAGACGCTGGTAAAAAGCAGCGGGAGAAAACGAAGAAGGACGGCGCTGGAAGGAGGAGAGACAGAGTTGTTCGGCGCAGTGACAAGTCCGGTTCACAGAGCGAGAGGCGCGTGTACGCGGGCAGGCGCGTTCCCACAGGCGCGCGCCGTAGCGCGGGCTCGCGTACGCGTATACGCGAGCAGCCGGCCCGAGCGGAGAGAGCCGAGAGAGCCGAGAGAGCCGAGGGAAAAAAAGAGGGCATGCGGTGCGCGCGCCAGCGCTCGGCGACCGTCGCAGCTGGCTGCTGGCTGCTGGCTGCTGGCTCGCTCGCCGACGGCACCGCGCCTGGCCGTTCACCTTTCCCGCCGCGGCGCGCGCTCCGCCGTTTTTCCAGCCGGACAACTGCACTTCTGGCGGCGTCGCGGTCGTGCGCCGCACCGGTTTCCCTGCGCGGCTCTACGAGGAATTACCGCAAGAGCGTCGGCGAGTGCAACTCGGAGCACCGCGCGCCGTACAGCGGAGCAGAAGAAAGGAAGGAAGGAAGGAAGGAAGGCGACGCGCAATCTTGGCGGCTTCTGGCGGGCAGCCGCACCGAAGTGCGCTGGCGCTGGGAAAGTGCGCCGAGCCATTATGCCGGGCTGCGGCCACTCACGCGAGCGCGAGTTTCGGACCGCGCTCGGGCCGCGAGGCAGGATATGCCGACACTCGCCGATGGATCATCCATTGAGCCGCAACAAAAGTCTCGTCTGGTGCGCGCATTCACTGTGGAATGTGAGCGCACTTAAGCGACGGCAGTCGCACGGACGTCGCCGCTCGGAGAAAGAGACACCACCTTGGCGCGGACTCTCGCGGCGTCGATAAGAGAGGCAAAAAATACAATTGGTGCCAATTGCAGCAGCCAAACGATTATTGATTCAATTGCTGGCTGCTAGCTAATCTTTCGTAAGAACGCGGCCGCGCGGCCGATTCTTCTCTCGCTTGTCTTGCTGCTTGACAATCGCAGCATCGTCAGCCTCAATTAAACTCTCTGCCGCTTCTCGCGCGAGGCGCGACACTGGCGGGGCGAGAGCGCGCGTCCTCTTCGCAGAATCCCCGGGAATGACCATTTGTTCACCGCGCGCGCCGCGTCGCCAATTGCCGGCGAGGCGTCGAGGCGTTCGGCTGACTTTGCAACTGCGAAGTGACCGACCGCGGAAAGCTGCGCGGGCCAGCCAGCTTTCAGAGGCGAACGCCTCAAGTTCAAGAGCCACGGCGCGCCGGGGCTGGCTGAATAGCGTAGCTGAGCTGCCGAGAGAGAGCGCGCGGCCGCGCGATACTATGTGACCGGGCAGATGGCCCGAGGATTATCAAATGGCCGCTGAACTTGGATGTATATACGAGAGATCGTTGAACTTGCGGCTGGACTCTTGTGCAAGGAGGAAAAAGGGTCGAAGTGTTATTCGTCGCTGAACGCAACGCGACGCAACTTCCGGAGCTGGCAGCAGCTGCCAAACGAGACCGGGAGCAGGACGTTAAGCTTACGTCCGGCTTACGTCCCTCGCTCTGCTCGTGTGCACTGCGCGCATAGACAATCGCACGTCCCTACTTGATCACTTGTTTACAGGCTTTTCGCTTAAGCCCACTCGATCTCTCGCTCCGTGCCGCTCATCGATTACCTCTCGCTCTCTCTCTCTCTCCTCTTCTCGCCCTATCAGCTACCTTGCAACTTTGTCTCATCTCCCTGCGCTACGATACCTCCATCAGTCAGCAAACTTTTTACACTCGCCTTATTGCTATTATTAGCCATACTGTACTTTCAGTCACATTTACTACGAAACATTGTCACACTGGGATGTACTCCTGTCATTATAACATCTATTCATTTCTTCTACTGTATTATTTTTATATGACCTAGTTCTTCAACATTCGTTATAACAATAATCAAAATTATTATCACCCGTACAATTTTTACAATGAATATAGTAAACACATCACTGGAGCGTTTTCGGAACATTGTTTCAGTAAATACCAATCAATTGTTTGGCAGCGAAGCAAATGAGTTTTTAATAAATTTCAAACCAAAATAATCTGTACAGTCACGATAATTTCATGATTAATTTTATTACAGTCGATTCAATTACCAGAAAAAATGACTGATTCAGCAACAAAGAATACATTTAAGGCATTTGTTACATTGGCAATTGCTGAGAAATGAAAAATCAATATAATCTGTAAATAAAAGTATGGACTGAACGAAATCTTCCACAAAAACATAAACATAACATCACCAGCGTTGAGCAGCACGATCTACGTGACGTCCATATCAATACGCTGTGGCCAACTAGTTAGTGGTAGCTTACTGAAGTAAATTTGCGAAAACGCTCCTGGTCCCCAAGATCGCACTCGAATCTAGTACATCCCTAAATTGATCATTTGCAGGAGCTAATTGTAGATGGCGGTTCAAGCCTCGGAACCTCGCAAGTGGCAGAATAAACATTTGTCAGTCTGAATCATCATCATGAGGCGGCCATATTCAGTCGGTTGGTATCGATTTGCGATTGAACGTTGGAAATTGAGCATCCCAACGTTTTCCATTTATGAAAGAGAGCTAGAACTTCGGGCGCGATCACATTGGCTCTTGGGGGCGGCTATATTGAGTCGGTCGGTTTTGATTTGCGATTGGATGTTGGAATTCGAGCATCTCATCGTTTTGAGAAAAAGATTTTTTTATTTCCATTTTATTGACAATTCCGATCGGACCATATTATTAAACGCGAAACATTAAGTTCCACGCCCGCTCGTATACTCCCAATGCATATGGGCGTGTGCAAATAAATATAGGCTCTGCGCCAAAGATGAATTTCAACATCAATATAATTCGAATGAAATATATATATAATTAAGTTTTCCGCAGTAGTAAAAATAGTAACATTCACTAAGCTAATCGCCTGTATTGTGTTTATAGTAATAGTAGTAGTAATTATTATGGGTCCTAGAAATTTCACATAGTAAAACTTCCAACAATTTATAGCCATTTTTATTACATTCAGAGTATATCTCATGTTAACGGTGTTTTGTAGTAATTTTAACTATATACAGATCACAACAAATGTTATATCAGTTATGTCTGTACGAAGCGACAGTCGTGTTCGACTCTGAGCCACTCCGAAATGCATTTTCTCGCCGGTAATGATTTGCCGCAACAATGTTTCCGGATCAGCGATTCTCTTACGTCGGCGAGTATTTGCATGACGAGGACGAAGCAAACTTTGCGCCTCGGGGCCATAGTTCTCGATAAAGATACCAAGCCTCGCGTGAAACTGGTTTCGATCGGCGGAAGTCGGGTCGAGATCCGCTCTAGTCAATCTAAACCTAGCTGGAAAAAAAGCTCAACAGCGGTAAATGGGCCCATGATTCTCGCCACCCCCCCCCCTCTCGTTCTCTCTCTAACTCTTCGGTAAATAAAATTTGCCAGAAAAAACGATGAAAAACGTGAAAAAGCAAGTTAGCGGTACTCAGCCAGCAAACTACTCGGCAAAACGACTCTTACAAACGCGAAACCGCGAAACAAATGTGAGCCGTGCTTAGGAAAATAAGAAACGAAATATATTTGAAAGGTTGTAAAAAACTTTAGTCAGTGGGGCACGTGAAATCTCAGGTGTCGGTCATATTTTTTGCTGAAGATTGGGCAAGGCGCGCGGACCAACAGGCAGTGCGCAAGTAAGGCGAGGGAACACGAGGAAGGAAGGAAAGAAGGAAGAAATGAATGAGCGAATGAATAGGAGGTACGAAGGAGCTGCACCCCCGTTAGATCTGGCTCACGCCGCGGGATGTATGCTGGAGTCTCGCTTTTCTCTCTCCCTCTCTCTCTCTCTCTCTCTCTCTCTCTCTCTCTCTCTCTCTCTCTCTCTCTTTCTCCAGTCTCATACGCTGTTGCCAAGTTTAGCTCTCGTTCGCAGACTACCTGCCTGCGCCTCTACTCGCCACTACATATACGCTTACCAGTGCCTGTAGTCTGCGATTTTCTTTCTTCCCCACAATTCCAACTTCCTCGTTTCACTCGAGCAACATTCCACATTAGGCTTGACAAATTACTGATATTTCGTGAAATCGGTCGAACGGCACGAGCAGCAGAATTTATTGCTAAAAAAGCCAACGTTGGCGCTTCAAAGATCGACAATAATGGACAAAAATAGGCTATTGTTCGAAGCGGACCGCGCGAGGCAGGTATAAGCATGTCCTCGAAAGAGAGAGAAAGAGAGAGAGAGAGAGAGAGAAGGGAACGAGCATTGGAATTACTTGGAATGCCAGCGCACGCTATTCCTTTTTTAAGGATCAGGCCAAATCAAAGCAAACGCTACTCCACATAGATCGACTCCTTCGACCGAAGAACAGCAGGCAATAGCGATGGAAGTCGAGGACGACGCGCGTGCGGAATGTGGCACGCTCTCTCGTGTCAGATTGTAATTTGACAGTCATACGATAGCCGTGGCTCGATTAAATAATGGCCAAAGGCGCAAAGGCGAGCCCCTAAGCCTTAGGCGCAACCGGGCGACTCGGTCATTGAGTTTCGAGAGGTGTTGTGCGTCGAGTGCACGGAGGCTCGTCCGATCGCTCGGTCGAGGCGCACGGTGCACGCGCCGCAGCTCGTTCGATTGGTGTCGTGCGCCCGGCCGACCGTTGGTCGCGGTGGAGGACGCGCGCGGACCGCGGCGGCAAGATGCGCGCTTTCGGCCGCCGGGGCCGAGAGAACGGGCCGGGGAGCCGTCCCCGTCAGCGGCGAAGGCGAGGGGAGGGCCGCGGGCCATTGCGCGTTTCCCGCTTAGGAGCAGTCCGCGCGCAGCATTGGCCTGAATTCCGCAGCCGCCGCCGATCTCATTGAAGGCCTAATTAGCCGCAAACGCAACGCCTAACGAGGCGCACTTAAGCAGACGCGCGCCGCGTCCCGCGGTCGAGTCAAGTCAACATGGAGCTGCACTGTACCTCTTTCCTCGATCAGATTGGAGGGAGCCAGCTGCGCCGAGCAGCAGAAAATCGCCGACAGCAGCAGCTGGGCCAGCAACAGGTTGCGCTGCGCCATGCTCGCGGCCGCACTGGACTGTCCTCTTCGGGCCTCCTCACTCGCGAGCAGCCGCCGCCTCGACGAGCATGTCCGCGCTAGCACTCGTGAAGAGGACGCGCACTCGCGCACTGCCGCCAGACGCAGGCGTCGGCCCACCTGTTGAATGTCAGAGCCTGCTGGCGCTTCACTTGCTCGCACGTGCGCGCTGCTCTTCGACCGCTCGCGGCTGCCGCTCGACTTGGCGCTGCTCCTGTACGATCTGCCCATCACTGCCGAGCAGCCCCTGGCCGCTCATCCTTCCAGCCGATTGTCTTCGACGGGTTCACTGTGCGTACCGACCCACCCGTCTATAGTCCGCGGACGGAGGACGGAGGCTTTCAACACGACCGACACTTGAGCTTGGCACTTGCTTGACGTCGCGCACGTTCACTTCAATGTTGGATCCGCGTATGCGTGGTGCTGGCACACCTGGCGCACCACTCACGGATTGGCAAACAAAGCGAACACTTGGACACCTGCGGGGCGCAGAAAAGGCACCGTGGCTACGCTCACTTTGCTTAACTTGGCACTTTACCGAACAAGCGGCACGTGATTACAGTATGAGATACGTCAAGTCCAACACTTGTTGCAAGTACACGAGTGACCAATTCGACGAAGCGTCGAAGAACGGTCACAGTCACGCGGAATCGATCTTACTCCTACGCCGCTTGAGCGAAGAATAAGGGATTCGAAGCGTCGACTGGCTACGGAGTGCGGAGCAGCCGAGCCGAGAGTTCGTGACGCTGCGAGCTGCGAGGGACAGGAGGGGCACCGCCGCAAACACGCACACACGGCCCGCGCCAACTCGCTACGAATGTGGCCGCAACGCGGCGCTACCAGCATTTTTCCGTCCGATGTTCATCCACATTTCTCACAAACTCGGCTCAACCGCCAGGGACGATCGCTCGATGCATCGGATTATACATTAGATTATATGTGTGTGTGTGTGTGTGTGTGTGTGTGTGTGTGTGTGTACAGAAAAGCACTGTGAGTATGCTGTCAGCACTTGTGTAACTACCACGATACTTTACAAACGCTAGTCGGTAAGCTTGGTCGGTATATAGGACAGATGCAGATGCCACACAATATATAACATAAATATATTAGTACAACACCAATCGCTTAGGTTTTAGTATTTGTCTTCCATTACTTGTGTTGTGTAAACGTTAATAGAATGATAATTTCAAAGTCAATTGCTCTTATACTAATATATTTTCCTTATAGAAGGTATGGCATCTGCATTATGTCCTGCATACCGACCAGGTATACTGCTATAGCGATTGTGACTATGTATTACGGGTCATTCACAAACTGGTGCGCGTAATGACTAGAAGTCTGGCGTATAGTTACGAGTACCGAAATTTTTCATTGAGGGGATAGGAAGGTTTTTGAACAGTTTCTTTGCAATAATCGATAAACTAATTATGTTATTAGATAATTCATTGAATAAGCAACAACTTTTGTTATTTTCATTCGTTAGGTTGTCCACAATTAAAATTAAAAAAATACGTCATTTCTCACTCACTCATAGTTCACTTCTGAACGAGCAGTCTAATATAAAACTACTTTTAATAAATATTTCGGTTGGAACGATTGTATTCCAATGCGATACGACCCATCCTGGTGGAGCTATCTCAAGGAAGGAGGATTTCTCGTAATCTCAATCCCCGGCCGAAATTTTTTTCATTTTATACTTGATTTTTCGTTCAACATTGCCCGTTATTCGAATAATTTTTCAACTAATTTACTTCAACAGATATATGTTCAATCAAATCGTCTACTGATAATAACTTCATTGGGGGGTTCGGGTTCGTGTTTTCATAGTAACAACATTTCGGCATTTTTAAGCACTTTTATTAGAAATAACGGGCTTTATTGTTAATGTGTGCACATATCCATTTATCTTAAATTATTTTGAAGCTCCTGCGGGCTCGTGCGATTTGTATTGTGGCTGATCCTTAACATTGACTTTTTACTCATTGAAGAAATGATCGATACAATTCAATTACATTTTTTTACCGACCATGGCTATATTAAATAATACCATGATCGTAAAACAAACATAACAAGGTTTTTAGTTTATTGTGAATTAAGATATAGTTGAAATCATCATTAACAAGGGAAATATACTGCAACCAGATAATAGAAAATATGATTCTTTTAAATGTTGTAATGCATTTTAATTTTGTTTGTATATGCTTTAGTTTACGTTGCGTTATTTAGTGAAGTTGACTCAACAATTATATTTGTGACGAAAAAGACAAATCTTCACACTGTGAGAGGATTATTTTGCATTTGTATTTTTTATAGTAACATCTACAATGTGGTCGTAAGTGATTTACGGGACAGACGCATGTGTTGCAACTACACTCAGCGTAAAGTACGTTTTTAGCAAATAATACATTTATAAATTAATGTACGCATTTCACTTTTTTTAATTTTATAATCTAATTGTTTATAAAATACACTAGAATAGATTTTCGAACGAAGTTGCTGCGTGCATAAGCCATGAAAAATTATTAACTCGAATAATTCGGCAAACGCGAACATCTTATATATTTTTCATGAAGCATCATGTTATTCGTTAAGGTTTGTAGTTCTAGAGAATGTAATATTTCGACCAGTTTGTCATTTATAGTATATAGAATATAGCATGTGTCATTAAGTCTCTCAGTTGCTATGCATAAGCTAAACAAATATATATGTATTCAATATATAATTTATATTTCTTCGCATTTTATTCCATAATAACACTTCAAAATAATATTTTAAGCTTTAAATTCTAATGTCTTTCAAGTTATTTATATAATAATTATTTCTTGATTTTATATATGATCTCTGTATTTTTTTCTCACATTCTTTTAAATTCGAACGTTACTAATGCAAGTTACTTTCCAAAATCTTTCTGTTGTTTTTATCCGTTCCTTCAAATAATAGTCAATTTAATATTCTTTCAAATATAAATTTAGTACCACGCAATGAGTATCTGTTTTCTATAACAATAACATTGCAACAATTTTTTCAGTCATTTAATTACAATTGCAAACGTAAGAACGGTATAATAAAGAATTGCTATTTTTTTACACTTTATACCCGATTCATTCTTTCGTTTTTCCGTCGTAAAATGTAATAATAGAAATAAGAAAAATCAATTATCATCGTGATAATAAACGGATCATTAATTGTAATCAGAGTATCAACAATCGAAAGTTGTCTGGTTTTGGAAATATTAGTCTAAATTACATATGCATTTTTGCGTTATGTAGCAGGCACGTTATTTTTCTAGATTATTCATATCATATATCAAACACATGTATCGAAAATCACTACGCTGAATACATGTGATAGATCTTGACCTTTTCCTCATCGAAGTATTTTTATTTTCAAACTTACTCGATTTAACTTATCGTTAATTATACGGTTTCAATTTTAGAAAATGCTATTTTATCCTAGATATATAATCTAATTCTGTGAAAAAAAAATTCAGTGCAACTAAATTTTTAATTAAACATTAATTGCATTCATATTTTAGAACAGATTGCACCATAAACAGCAGGTTATCATTAATTGAATTCTTTAAAATCAATTGGATTAAAGTCGGTAGAAATTGTTTTCAATTTTCTTAAAGCAGCTCGTATTTTTACCGAAATTTCAATGTTTAATTTCGCAGAGCAATAAGAAAGAATGAGCTTATTTCACAAACGGTTTTAAAATGGTAAAATGGATATAAAAACGCCAGTTCTGTGATAAATTGGAGTTATTGTAACGTATTATTCACACGGTTCTTATGAAAATTAATGTAAAGGTAGTATCCAATCCGTCTAGAAAAACAATACATTTTCACGAAAAACATTCAATTTCTGGTGTTGTTAGCCACGAAATAATTAAAAAGATTTTATAATTGCACAGTAATTAAATAAACTTAATAGTATTTTACTTATAAAAATTCATTTCTGAACAAACATTGTCAATTTTCATTCGTACGTAATCGTGTCTGTTATAGAATATAATATGGTACTATTTTCCTAACACAAAGCACATTTGGCCAATTCCATCGTTAATTTATCAATTTGCACATATCTACATTTATAGGCATTATTGGATGCATTACCGCGTTTTTCATTGCATCTAGGCCAATATATATTTTCCATGAACATACTAATTCTAACAGTTAATATAGCATAACATTTTACGGTCCAATATTTAATGAGACACTTCTTTGAAATTAACTATTTGTAAAGTTAAATATATAGAATAGCTAAGATTTTTAAATTAATATTACATTTTCTCTGCTGCGTTTTAGAATTAAAAACCAATATGGTACGTGTCTACTATTATTTCATTTTCATAGAAATAGCTCAATTCACGATTCTTTATTGCTGTTGAATTAAAGTCATGTCAATGAATTAAAATTGCTTTTGATTCCAAACTAAATTTTTCGGATGTACAGCGAGAATATAATTTATCCGAGTTTTATTAGTCATGATGTAAAAAGGTTTTGCGTACAATATGTACAGGTTATCGTACAGCTATTGTACAAAATATTATTCAGAGCTTTTTGTTTCATTCAGATATTTATGGAAAACCGTTGTAAAATATTTGAAGCTGATTCCGCTTCCATACATTTTGAATAAATTTGTGTTAATGATAAGTATTTACTTTTTTTCATAGTAATTTTCAGTGTTTATCTTAGTGATAATAATTTATACATATCGTACACATAGCAAAACAGCGTCGCATAGTAGTTAGACGATAAATAATTCAACAATATTTATTGAATAACAAGATCAGGTTCTAGCTATCGGTAATATATAACAACGTAAATTTTTCATGAATAGCAGAATGATTATTAAAAACGGAGATTTCGTTATATTTAAATTATTTGATTACAATGCAATTTACTGCACTTTTCAAAATCATCGTTAAATTACATTTGAGAAGGGATTTGGTAATACTTAGAATTGAGTGATGCATAGCAAAATCAAACCAAAGTCAAGTGAATATTAACAATAAGAGTATAGTAATCGTACTATACAATAACAGCTTTCTTAATTAAAATGATTTTAGCTTAGGCTATGTAGGCTCACGGTTTTTTAGAAATCATACTTTTTACGATATTAGATGTCGTTGCAACGAAGATACAAAGGTAATTGAAGTCTGTTGATTTCATGAACACGAAAAGCAGTGTTAGGTGTGCATTGTCATGAGCACAACCAGCGTAGATCGTTTTTTCGTTGATGCATTCGATTTTTACTTAAAATATTCACTTATTTTTTGTCGATATTTAATATCTATCCAGTGTTCCGTATGGTCCATTGTCGGAAAAACTGATGAAGATATATAATCATGTCCAATGAAAAATAATATAAGCACGACTGATTCAAGAAATGTTTGTTTCATTTAGTGACTAACATTTTTCGAATATTCAATAGGAGGTTAAAATTATGACAAACATTTTTTTTCATTAGCAGCTTAATATTTTATGACGATAAATAAAAGAAGTAAAATAGATGTAAGTCTATTGAGATTAATTTGATGTTAATAATTCAATTTAATTCCACTGAGAGTAAATACGTTGATAACATCTGTATTATATTTTTCAATAGACTTGTATCTAGAAAAATTCACCTCGTCAATACATATTAACGAATCGACAAAGTAATTTAAAAGCATTGCCTTCATTAACATTGTTTTGTACACGAACAGAGGAAAGAGCAGGCTTTTCTATAGGAGAATAAAATAATGCGTTAATGAATTTAATTTAACAGACAACCGCCTCTGGTAACGGATTTTCAGTGATGTGTATAGCCGCTGTTGGCCAGTCAATTTTTTTGCTACAAATATGATTCAGTCCTTCAAGTGATGCAAGTCGGTAGTCAGCCATTTTCAATGGGGAAAGCGGTGCAACTGCAAATAAAAGTCATGTATCAATGTAATGACGACATTTTTATAAATTGTGAATTTATAGATCGAAAAGTACAATAAGTGTAAATGCTGAAAATCATCTAGTAGAATAAAATAAAATTAATAGTATCATCCACTTCAAAACATTTTTAAAAATGTATCTTATACGAAACACAATTGGACTTAGTATAATAGGTCAAACATTATATTTATCAAGAAGTTTGTTCTACCAGATGAAATTTTCTACTTATACTTTTATTTTTTTTCGCAAGTCGTGTTTCTTACGATGGACGTATTTCTATAAATAAAATCGACTAAAAAATATCAGTACATATAAACCACATCGACGCTGCGGTCGGCAATATCGGCATTAAGCATAATTCAACTTAAAGCATTATTTTGGCCAGTAAAACTAAAGTTATGAGCAAGCACACATGCAAAATAAAAAATAAAAATAAAAAGAAATAGAATGCATGTGTAAAGTGGTCTGTTGTGTGCAAGAAATAGCAAGAGAGTGTTCTGATTACGCAACGTTTCAGAGTAGTTTCTACATCCTACCCAGTGCAATTATTATAGTTTTGAAATATATCTTAACAAAATGTTATTAAAAAAATAACATCCGAAATCGAATTTTTTTTATGAAAAGTGATTACTGTACCCTTAAAATGCCCTATTTTTACTTTATGAAGTGTAAACATCATTTTTTTTTATTATTTGCTACATAAAAATTATATGTTTTTATAAAAGTCATAATTTTCTTTGTGCTTTTTTTGCAAACAAAAAAACATACAAATATATAAATATACCAACAACATCTATGGAATCAATATATCCAACTTCAAACAAAGACTTTCTATATGATTTAATATAATAATAGCCTTTCCGTTTGTATAAATCATTTACATTAAAATATTACTTTTTATTTATTTTAATTAAGTGTATATATTATAGACTTCCATCATGAAGCATTCCTGCTAGCGATTAACGTTATTGTATTTCTATTCATAAGTTGTCTACCACTTATTTAAATATCAATAATTCAGAAAACACAAATGGCATTTAAAAAACTGTAAAATGATTCAATTTAATTTATGCAGAAAAAGGTTCTAATACTTTTGAAATATCACGTTGAAGGTGAGCCCAAAGTGCAGCTACACCAATATTCCTCTCCAAGTTATATGTAAATGATTTTAACCAATGACAAAAAAATAAATAAATTATATCTTAACAAAAGCTACATTACAGTTATACGTACACAGACACTAAGTATAATTTAAAAAATCAATCAGAATAGTAAGCTTGAAAAGAATACCAATATATGTTAAAAATATTGTCAAGAGTTATATTGAAAAATTTTTTGCTGTAATTATGTAAATATGAGACTAAACAGAATAGGGAGTGACAATTGAATAGGATACCAATATTAAACTAATATATATATATATATATATATATATATATTCCATAAACCGAAATTACTGAAAAACTAACCGCGCGATTCAGTCACCATTTACTAAACAATAAAACAGTGAATATTTCAAGAAAATAGAAGACTCTCATATGAATATAAAATAAATTAGCAGATGTGAGAATCTGATTTAGTAGATTAGTGAAGAGATGCTAGGAACGATTAGTAGTTTGTTAGCCGATTAGTTAAAATTGTTAAAAATATTAGGAAAAGACAGCCCTTAAAAGAGTAATATTGGATAGTTCAACAATTTTCCGATTAGCCGATTGTTAGTCTCTTTTACGTTTATAGTTTCCGAATATACTTTGTAATCCGACTTACTCAACGCTTAGAGGTGGCTTAATTGACCGACACAGCGCGTTCAACTCCTTTGCCGCCTCGATTCTTAATTACAATTACCTTCGGGTGTTGTAGGCGCTGTAGGCTTCCCCGGGGACCTCACCACTAAAACGTAGAAGAAACAAACAAACTCGGTTTATTCACAATTTCAGGGAATTTTATATCGAGATTCCATCTTTTAACAAGTAATAAGATCGTCTACGGCATACTACAAGACGTTGTTTTATTCAAATATTATTTACGCCACTACTTCATCGTTACTGCTTAGCACAAATGTATGGCTTTCATATTTTTTAGACGAATTCACGTATTTTTCTTTTTTATCTCACTAACATCATGTGATCAAAAAACATTCTCCATTTTCACGTCACAATTGTTCACAACTCATTTTAAATTTAAATTACGCGTCATTACATATTCATTCATTTTTAATTACTTGAATATACTACTACTGTAGTTATTGCTGCTTTATAATAAGATAAACGCGAAAAGTAGAATGAAGAATCACAACATAATACAGGAAACGACATGGAAATCGACAGAAAAAAAAATTCTAGCCAATAAGCCGTAAAGAGTAAAAGACTACAATTTTGAACATAGTTATTATCATACATACCACTCGATACATCCGAGACGCGTGGGAAAAAAGACTCAAGTCGATGAACAAGAACTTTTCAAATTTGTTCTTTATGTTAATTATTTTATGTGTGAGTATAAAGCGATGATGTGGAATCAAATAAGATGAAAAGAAACGTCGAAAAGAAGTTTTGAAGATAGAAATTTGTATGATTATTTATTCTTTGAGAATGTTTTCCTTTCGTGAAACTATAGTGTAGATGAGAGTAAATGTTAAAAATAGATAAAAATAATTTCGAATTTTAGAATGATAATGATGCAAATACTTTGGAATGTTACATTACATGTAGGTGCAAAATGATACACCAAGAAGAGGTATAAAATAAAAGTACTTATCAATCTAAAATTCAACGCTTGTATTTATTGATTCATTCATACAAGAAAAGTTTCAAATTGATATCTAATAGAATGACACTGATGGTAGTAAGTTATGAAATTATAATTATGCTAATAACAGAATGAATTATCAGTAACATTAACAATTCGGATGAACAGCATGGGTTTACATCCTACTGGGGAACTTGAACAATAAACACAAATAAAAACTGACTTGACCACTATAACAATTGGTAATTGCATCAACTTTTCAGTTATGTTTTTACACATTAAATAAACTATAGATATTACTTGCAACAAGTACAAGAACATCATGATTTCACAAACATAAAATAAATACTGGTAGTGTAATTTCAAATTATATGCAGTTCATCACCGGGTTCAATGTTCATTTTCACTCTTTCATTTGCGTCGATGTACAGTTTTATGTGATAAAAGCATATTATAGTGTACAGTGACAAGTGCGAGTGTTTTTTCTGTGACCAAAAAGCCAAACAGAACAACGAACGCCGTCTAAGACAGCCAATGGATTAATTTTTCAACGATGCCGACCGATTTTTTAGCCTATTATCTAGATTTTTTCTTTTTTTTCAAATTATTTATTCTTTCCTTTTTTTATCTTACGCTTAATTTCATTGTATTTAGCTTTATGAAAAAGATTCGAAATATTCTTTTTTAAACTACCGTATAGACGTACAAGTGCAATCTAAATCTGATATTTTTGAATTCCTCGATCCATTGCGTAGATTAGCTTATATTATTTTTTTCATCGTCATAACGATTTCTAAAAACGCCAGTTAGCATTGAAATAGACTAAAATGAACTAACGATCTCCAAACTTCCAAATATGATATTTTCAGTGAATTGATAGTAGTCAGTAACAATTATTAGCCAGTAATGAAGTATCATGGTTTTTTTTTTGTGAATAGCTTTGAATGAACCATGCGGAGCGGTTGGTAAATCATTTAGTACTGTTCATATTGAAATAAAATGAAAAATCTGAAATAATGAAATGTTCGCATCCAGATTATTGTAGTAAGGTGTTAATTAGGAAATTGATGAAAAACGTAAACTTGTAAAATACGCTTCATGATATCCGGTAACATGTATTTAGTGCTTTTATTTGTGCTCAATGTACGAACGCTTATATTATGCGCATGTGTATATACGTATATATACGTATGAATTTTTGAAAATTCATATTTGGAAATCTAAGAAACATTTTATTTCAATTATTTATATGATATTAGCTATTCTTTTTACCGATAATAAGCGTTTTTTCAGGAAAGAAACGAATACGTATGATTACATTATTAAACAGTTCAACGTTCAGTAATATAAATTCTCTTATTATTTGCAAATCCTTCCTTTTTGATGAGATTAATAAAATACTCTACAACTTATTTGCAAAGCATATTCACATAATTAGATTTGTAGAGTTTTATTTTCAAATCATATTACAAATATATTTTAGAATATCAAGAATACCGAATTTGCTTGCTTTTGTACCATTACAAAAAGAGATAAAAAGTTTTTGCACTACGAGGCATGTAGTTTAATTTTTCGTTATTTTCATGAACAAGAAATTCATCAACATTTTCATGAAACGCAAAATGAATTCATATATTATTTTCTATGTTGATAGATTTTTTTCAAAGTATTATATGAATTTCATTGTCATTGAATAATAATTATTAAGTTGAAATGAATTGTCAGTGTAAATTTTTTGTACGAGTTCGATGTCATTGATCAACGAGTTAAATTTGTCTATTCGCAATAGATCTTGTTTGAAAATAAGGACACATCGCTCGTTAATGATTAACGCGATAACATGATTTACTCATTTATCGTGATATTTAGCCAATTAAATGACGAACAACATTGGCCGTGTACGAAAGCTCGAATCGATAAAATAGAGCAGGTAGCAGAATAGAAAACTTTAGACGTGAAGCTTTGGAAAAGAGTTTGAGAGTAGCTTGCGCGTTTGTGTTCAACACTATACACGAGTAAATCATGTAATGCAAGATACATCATGAGCTTGCTTTGTACGTAAATTGAATAAAGTTACAACGAAATCCATTAGAAAAGATTCGAATTTATTTCGCATTTTTTAATATACCTAATTTCATAGAAATGTTTTTACATCTTTTCGCAGTCGCCAGGTTTATACTCATTATTAAGTTTATTTCTTTTAAAATACGAATACAGCGATTCTACGTTTGTGAGATTCGCGGTGATAATAATCGTTCTATTTATTGGCTCAAATTAATCCTGATCGCTCACTTACCGTAGCCTTCACCTTGAAGGAATAATCGGAATGCTTCGCTTACTTTGCCTGGCTGTTCCTCCAAAACCATTCCGCAATCAGATATCTAGAAATGGAAAAACCAGTGACTCGACTCGAGCAGGAGAGAATCCGCAGACGGGGATGGGGATGGGGTTGGGTTGCTCGTGGCGTTTAGGACGAGGAGGAGGACGATTGCACCAACCTTCATCCAGGAGCTGTTGGTAGGGTCGAGTCGGCCGTTGAGAGTAACGGTGTCGTCGACGTGAGGACTAAGCGAGCCCGTAATGTTGATGACGGGCACAGAGAGCGTCGTAGCGTCCTTCCTACGCGTGGGATCGAGCTCTCGAGCGATGTTCAAGTCGGTTCGGCGCACGTAGCTGTCGATAAATAAGGCCAGGTTTGTCGGGTTGACCCGGCGTTCAAAGTAGTTTTTGTAAACCTGCACGAGATCGTAATTTCTGTCCTCGGTGCCCTGCGAAACGATCGATCGAGTGAGCAGCGAGCAGGGGAGGGAGGGAGGGAGGGAGGGAGGGAGGGAGCGAGCGAGCGCCAGCAGGGCTTACCCGTCCAAAGTGATGCCACATGAGGTAGTCGAGGACGCCCTGGGTCATGCCTTGGGAGCGCAAGTGCCGGCAGTTGAGCTTCTGGTAACCCCACTCGATCCAGCCGGCTTGCGTGGACACGCAGTTGATCAGGCAGAGAGCGTTCACCTTGTCGGGGTGCGCGAGAGTGAAGCGGGCCAGGATGTTCGCGCCAGCGCCCACGCCGAAACCGATCACCGAGCGCAGCCCGAAGTGGCCCAGAACGAACAACAGCTGGTCCGCGAGGTCCTCCATCGTCGGGTACACGTAGCTGCAACGTCGCCGTGCGCGTTCGTATCGTCATATCGTTGTATCGTCCGAGCCGCGCCGCTCGTCGCACGACATTCAACACTTACTCCTCGGACAAAGTCGGCGCGCCCTCCTCTTGGCCCGGCGCGTTCACGTGGTAGACGCAGAAGTTTTCCAGCAGGACTCGCATGTCGATGTAGTTGAAGAAGGCTTGAAAGCTCGAGATATCTGCGGAGCAGAGTTAGCCAGTGAGTGTGCTGGTACCGGGGCACAGATATCCGACCGCGGCCGACGACTCACAGTTGAGGCCCAGGTCGTGGTAGGTGAGAATGGCGGGCTTGGCTCGGTTGCCCTGAACTGCCACGAGAAGCGAGCCTTTGTCGGTGTCCACGCGCTCCTCCCGCACCGAGCCGTCCTCCCTTGTTAAATACCTCAGCGTCGGGAATTGCAGCTGGATGTTTTTCAGCTCGATGTCGTCCATGCTGTCCGACGGCATTGCGCTGCGTACAATCATTATATAGTCCAACTTCCGCCCACGTGCCCTCGCGCTAATTTTTGTCGAGTCGCGTCTCGCGCACGACTTGCGCATTCTAGCCGATCTACAAGGACCAACTACAGCCGGACCCTCTCGCGGCTCTGCGCTTCGGTCTCATCGCCGTTTCACCGATAATACGTCCGCAACTCTGGCCTGCATAAAAATAAATCGCCTCGCATCCCCTGATCGATTATCAGGCTAACGCGCGAGCGATATACGCGATACAAATTGCAGCTTTGCTTCTGTCTTCCATGCCGAGGTACGTATTTGTGCGAGGTATTATTACGTAAATCATAATAATACTCGGACGACTTGTCTTATCGGCCTCGTTTCTTATCAAGCGAACAATATCAGCAGCAAACAATTGTTTCTTAGATGCTTGCTCTTCAATTCATACGGTTGCTAGCTTACTAGCATTACTCGATACTTGACATAGCGATGTCACGTGAATTTGTGCATCGCTTGCTTTTAACGTTTTCTCTAACCAAATAAGTTACGTTTACGGAGAATCAAAGTATAGCATTAGTTGACTGCGCGACTAGTTAATGAAAAAGGCTAGATTTCGGATTGGCCTAGTGCTATAATGTTTCTGTTGTTTGAGGCGAAAGCAGAGGTAGGAAGCACTAACGAGAAACAAACGAGCAGCAAAAACAAAGTTTTAATGGAGAAAGTGTCGTTGTAAGCTTCGTAAGTAGGTATAGGCGTTGAAAAAACGCAAAGTTGTTGTCAGCAAGGTAGATTTGGTGTAGAGGTATGCGCGATGGCCCGGCCAAATTGGCAATGCAGTCGTACGGCAAGTCGCGAGGAGGCAATTTTGAAAATGAGACTAGTGGAGGGAGCGAGGGAGGGAATCGACGAGATGGCGCCGCCGGCGGCGATTGTTTGGTCGCAGCAGCTGCGCGTGCAAAGTTACACGTAGCTGCTGGGCTTTTCGCGGATTTTGCAACCCCCTCCCCCATCGATCCAAGGTGCGCGCGCTCTCTCTCTCTCTCTCGCGGGCGCGCGCGGGCAAGCCACGCCCGGCTGCCGCTCGCGCTCTCCTTTTCCTCCGACCAACTGCAACGGGCTCGAACTAGTTGCCACGCCGTCGCCCGACGACCTGCCGACGTCACGGCGTTGCCGCTTGCGTTGCCAGCAGCCGATAGCGCCGACTCTCTTCCTCGCCTCAGCCTCACTTTCCGATTCGCGTTTGTCTTAATCTGCCGCCAGCTGCGCACTTGTACTGTTCGTTGCAATGGCTTGTCGGTCAGTGGTTAGCCGCTAGACTTTAACGGGCAACGCGCGACAGGACCGGACTCCTTTGGCACTTGCCACCTTTTACTTTCACAGCTATGGGCACTGCCAGCGCTGTGGCAACGACACTGCTTCAAAGTTTCCGACAAACTTCAAGACTGCTTGAAGAATTTCGAGGATTTCGGACTAATTGCCCATCTCTGTTGGCACTTCCATACGCTTGACCAGCCTCATGGAGCAAAGAACAACGTCGTGAAATTTCACTGGTGCTCGCGAAACTGTGCTTTCAGTTAGCAAACTTGGATTCGCGAATGCGATGAGCCCCCTTTCACTGAAATCATCCTCCGAAAACATATTTCACTCGGTCTAAAGGATGAAAATCCCTGCGCTATAGGTCTATTGGTAGCCTTCAAGATTCCTAAATCTCAATGTATACGTGGCAGCGTGTACGGCTGACTGATGTTCGATCGAAAGTGCTCGCGTAATTGGACTTTGGAGTTGACCAGAATTGTTCTGACTAGAAGAAGAGAACAAGAGGAAAATAGGAGCAAGCGCCGGGCAGACAGCGTCATAACGTCCAACGGCGCCGATCGATTTGTACTCGCGTGCAGGTATAACTTTGAGCCAACTCGCTCGGCTTGACTCGTCGCGCTACGTCCAGTAAAATCACGCGCTGACATCGATCTTTGCCAAACGATTTTTTCGTTCTAGAGCGAGCAAAATAACGGGCGGCTATCTATCTTCCACTAATGTAAGTCATAGACCGATTAGATCATTTAACCTGGCCTGGAACAGCCTAGTTAGACCTTTTATTGATAGCATTATTAGTTTACGTTTTCTAATTTTAAACCAAAGATGTCGTGCCCGAAGGACGCTTTTAATCTTATAATCAATACGGATGGAGTCTCATTTCACATGTTTTATATAATAAAGTGCGAGCGCGATGCACCTTTCGCAGACATGAAACATTTCCAAAGAATAATAATGCTACTTGTTGTTCGGCATTGACGTCATCTAGTCTTGTATTGATTCATCTCTAGGCTGCTTGTCGCGAACATCATACCGCTCAACGATTTCTCTTACGCAAGATCATTGCACTGTTGGACTGATCTAGCTTTCCCCTTGAGAACACTCTTGACGAACACAACTGAGCAGCACCTTCAGTTAGAACGTAGTATTCGTAACAGTAGCTAATGACGCCTAATTACAAGCCTGCTGTCTGAACTTTCCTTTGCTCCGCTTTCATTAATATTATTAATTATTCGATAGTATATTTCGGAGCGCAGACATTTGCATACATCTACTGCTTGATAATATCTCCGATTATTATACAGAGTTAACAATTCAAGTAACATTCTTTTATTCTCGCAATGTAGAGTCGTGCCAACAGTGCGCCTGTAATGTCGTGCCGAGTCAGTCAGTTGCCGATCAAGGCCTCTTGATAACAATCATTTCGTTTCATGGAAGAAAAGTGACTTGAACACAAGTTTTGATAAAATGCAAAAAATACACGTAGGCTAGTTTTAGGACTTGGCGTTCGCGCAGCAATCGTAGCATGTCGAAGCAAGTGTAGCAGTCATACTCGTATGTTTCATGTTGGTATTGTATGCTGATGTGCGTATTCATTAATTTTCACTTTCTACATCAACTACGAAAAACTGAACGAAAATACAAAGGAAAAATGTTTTAACTGTAATATCAAATCAATTGTTACTAATACAATTGAAATTTTGCATTCTCATCTATTCGGCACAAGATCCAGATTTTTACGTAGCACACTCCTAAACGTACTCGTCGTCATTACGGGTGTATAATATTACTCGTACAAGAAGAATTGCAAAAGTGAGTTGAAATCCACAACACGAGCATTCGTTTGTATAATATAGCACCAGTAACGTTTGACAAATGCACAATCAGGTAGGACGTCAACTCTAGCTACAATATTTATCTACGCTAAAGTCTAGATCGGTTCAATATCTAATAAATATATAGTCTGACGATGCACTCGAGAATTGGACTCAGTCACAAGGATATTTTTCAACAACGAAATAAAAGAAATGAACGGTCAAACAATAAACCACAAGGATAAACATCGATAGCACTTAATTTGCCGTGTGCAAAGACGCGCACACATTTGGACGAAGAAATAGTACGAATAAGTGGCTGACCCAAAAAATATTTGCTACAGTTCTATGATAAAAAGACAAGGACAATAAACAACTTACCCCAAAAGAGCAGACTCTTCAGCTGTGGCTGCGGTCGGCATCTTGCTTCGTTCCCTAAAACAAAATGGACGCCGCAAAATAATGAGGCTACCGGCCCTAGAGGCTTATTCGATTCATCCCATTGATTAGTTATACATATTTCTGTCAAGTTCTCCCTGATCCGCCCGAGTGTTATGAACGCGCATGGCAACGCCAAAGCATCGAAGCATACCGGTTGCAAACTAGCACAGTTCAAAGCTTCAAGCAAAAGAAGGTGAGGTGACTAAGGTGGAATATCGACATTGGTTGTAGGCAAACATGCGGCAGTGTAGTCACTCCTACTCGAGCCAGCTTTGCTAAGTAGCCGTGTAGTTGTGTGTCAAAAACTAATAAGTGCAAATGGACAGCGTCCGCTTGGAAACAGTCCAAATGGAGAAAAGGTGCGAGAGAGCTCGTGGATATGTGCTCGGGCGAACGAGTGCGTTTAACAGAGCAGCGAGGGTGAGAGCGGTTAACCCGACTGGTTCATTCACGCTTGGATTGTGAACGAGGAAAATACGTGGCTTACCTCGGCGCGTCAGCGTCGTCAGCGTCGTCAGCGTCGTCAGCGTCGTCAGCGTCGTCAGCGTCGTCAGCGTCACGCGGAAGCGATCGACGAATCTCCGTCGCGCGACTCCAGCGGAAACAAAGCCCCCCCTTAGACTTTCAAGCCAGCCCTTAGTCGCGAACGAAGGCAGCCGATTGCCTCTCCGACGAGCTCGCGTTATCGACCAAAAGTTCGGTAGAAAGTTCCACCTCCGAATACGAATGCCCCGAGTTGACGAAGGAGGCGGGGGAGGAGACGAGCGAGAAGGAAGGCGGGAGTGAGAGAAGCGGCAGAGTACCTGGACACGATGGAGACGCTCTCGCGCTTGTCCTCGATCAGGGGATTCTTCTTGCACATGGCGAGCTCGACCCTGGGCGCGGCGAAGCTGAAGGCCTTCTTGACGGACTCGAGGACCGTCTGGCCGGCGCCGTGGCTGTGGGCGTGCTCCTGGATGGTGGTGCTCCTGTAGACGTCCTCGCCCAGGTCGCCGAGGGACCTGTACGAGGCGCCCGTGCCGGCGGGCATCGCCTCCGCCTGCGGCCCCAGCCCCGGCCCCGGCCTCCGCGTCGTGCGCCGCCTCGCGCCTCGCGCGTTGAGCCGCGAGTCAGAGTGCGCGGTGCGCGCGAGCTGCGGGAGATAGTGTGTGCGTGCAGTCGTGCTTCTCTCGCTCTCGCTCGCTTGCGTAGTCTAATGAGGATGCTCGGTATGATGCCAATGGCTCGTGCGACTCTGATGTGCGGCTAAGACCCACTCGCCCGCCGAAAATCATCCCAAATACTCACTACCGCCGACTCTCGCCGTCGACCCGTTCGACTGTTTCGCTGCGCCGAGCGTTTGCTGACCGCGCCGCGCGCCAAGGAGCTTGCGATGCGTCAGCGTTCGGCCTCCAAAAGACCGACAAGACCGAACAATGCCGTTGACTCTTCCCCGGGTACGAGGGGAGAGAGGAGGCAACGAACTCGGACTGCAAGCCCCGTGGCGCGTGCGCCTCGTTATATGCATTGTACATCGTGAACATTCGATGCGTGACGCACGGATCATGCACAACAACCGCCACGCGTTCTACGGCTCACAACTGCATGCCACATATATGTACCAATAATTATCCAACGATCTGTAGCTTTGCACATCGATCTATATACCATGCTGCTGCTGTACCATGCCAATGTGCTTCGTGTTGTCAATGTCCTTTCACCAACGGACAGTCCCGTAGAACAATCCACGTACAACTATTACCTTCGTCAAACGCTATTTGCTCGCAACAATAAGGATCGAGGGCATGCATGTGTCGGGCTGTGATTGCTTATCAATGTTACGAATCCTGCAATTTTCGACAGTCTGCAGGCAAAAACTACTTTCCGTGCACTTTTTTACTTTGTATTTTTCTCATTTTATCATTTTATCTTACTAGTTGAAAAACATTCTAAGACTCGCCAGAAATATTTCAGTTCGTCGCATCCACCTTGGTCAAGTGATTGGATTCCCAGTTTTCGTCACAACAATTTGAAATATCTCTCACACGAAAATGAGTTTCAATCTAAAAATATTCGATTCTTCATGTGTATATCTTGTTCCGATAGAAACATGAAGCGATCGTTAACGTCATTTCTTAGCAACGACGTCAAGTCAGTTTTAGTACGTGAGTTCAGGTGAAAATATTTCATTACGAAAATCGATGAGCTACACTACTACTGGAGTGAAAGACCAAAAATATGCAATGAAAAGTATTTGCGTCTAAAATGAAGCGGGAAAATAAATCGTGTGAAATTTTTTATGATCCTTTGATAAATTATGAATTTCACGTAGTTGCAATTTTGGAAATCCTCGCCGCCGTCGCCGCCGCCGTCGCCGCCGCCGTCGCCAGTGCATCGATATCAGCGAACTCATTCGATAGCAAATAATTACTTTCGTCCTTTGAATGTTCGCGAAGAGAATGTCGCATTGCATTGGTTGGATCGGTCGATAAATCGATTTAGACGCTATCCAATTATTCCAGATGAACGAAGAAAAGGGTGAGCTCCATAAGAAAAAAAAAGTATATATAAAAATGGATGAGAAAAATATTGAAAATGAGAAGCGTAGAAGCTTGAAAAGGGCTGCAGGCATCGTTTGTTTAATCCAATAGTCGCGGTAAACGGTGCGAGCAGTGGTCTCGCAATTGACGAATAGAAATGATGAAAATGACGAGGCCGTGTAACGTGACTCGCGTACTTTGGCAGGAACTGATGCGAGGAAGCGCATAGGTACGATACGCCAAGCGAAAGGCAACGAACGACCAAAGCTAATAATCGAGCGTGCAGCCGCACGTGAGTTTTGCTGCGATCAACTACATCGAAGACTCGCCGCCAGTTTACGGGCAAGTTACTGCATGCACCGAGGCAAGGAAGCAGTGGAAATAGCGAAGATGTCGAAATGCTTGATTCGGCATGAGTGGAACGACGTTGGTCGTGGTCGCAGGACGGCGGAGAATCGGCCTTAGATAGAGAGGTTGTGCAGTGTGTGGATATCGATCGGAAAGCCTGTACGTGTAGGTTGGCGTATGAAACTTGCACTATACTCGCGCGCGCTACACGGCACACGAGATCGACGCCAGTTGAGGAATCGAGGTTAACTCGGGCCTACCTCGGCTAGGCCGCCCCGCTGACCGGCGCTGCACCTAGTCTTCGCCCAAAGATCCATCGTCTTGCTCATTCCTCTCTCGCTGACTCGCGCTTCGAGAGGCCAAGGTCTATTTCAACGCTGATATCGCGCTAATCAATCGACGAAGAAGGAGGACTCCAGCGGCTCAGCTGGTCGCTCCCCCGAAATTGTCCTCGCGAGAGACATGAGCCGCTCTGCCAGTCTACGCTCATTAGAGCGCATCGCGCGAAGCCTCCGGTCTGCTGGCTGCGTCGACAGTAATTTTCACTCGACTACCGATTCAACGAATGCACGCGTCAAGTGGCGAAATACGAAAGAGCTGCATAACAACGGAAGGTTAACGACGGAAAGATTACTCCTGCGGAAACAGGTAACGACGTCTAGGCAAACTGTGGCTCGCTCGGATCGATGCAACGTCCACGCGAATAGCGTACAATCCGAACGACGGAAACAGGCGGCTGCTGCTACTGCTACTGCTACTGCTACTGCTGCTGCTGCTGCTGCTGCTCGGACGAATCGCTCGCCTTGTCTTCATTGAAAAATCCATTATTATTCAGGAGTTTTCCGGTGCGCTGGCGTGTGCGTGCTGTGGAATGCAAAGCAAAAGGGGATCCCGCAGCGATCGATGATCGGGAGGATAGGTATGTAGGTAGACCGCATATCTACACACCTATAGAGAAAGTGGCGCGCCGTGTCGGCGACACACACTCATTCAAGTGGCGTGGAGCACGAGAGACTGGCACATAGGCTCGTACGCGCGCCTGAGCAGCAGCAGCAGCAGCAGCAGCAGCAACAGCAGCAGCAGCGGCGGCAGCGGTAGCGGTAGCGGCGGCGACGACGACGGCAGCAGCACAGCAGCATTATCAAAAACGTCACTGATCAATAGTAGGATACCCAGTCAGCTTGTTATTGACCGAGCTCGCGATGCCATCCCGGCGGCCTTTTGTCATCGTTTTTTCCAATCTCTCATTAGCGACGGCCGATGCGTCGCGAACAAGGCTGTCGCGTTGATGGTCGTGCACGATACCAAATAGGTAGTCAAGTCAAACGAATGAGAGGCACAAGGAAGCGTGAGCGATCTGATTGAGTCGTGTGAGACGCAGTGAGAGAGCGGATCGTCGCTTCCCCTATTTTTCGTGCTGATCGCAGCTATAGAGAGGGGCTCACCTTGTGGCTAGTTGATAGCGCCTAGCGGCCGACCACGGCGGCGCAGCTGATGCTGTCGATAGTCTGGCTGAGGGGCCGAAGAACAGTTGCAGCTTTCTTGTGCTTGTCTCGTCGCCGGGCGCTTGCGAGAGCTGTCGGCGGCTGTGTTCCGATCACTCGGAGGCTAGACGAACGACGTTATGCTGCTGCTGTCAAGCGGCACGGCAACGACGCACTAGACGCTAGACGGACGTCCGTCTCGAAGGCACCGTATATGCTAGTGGTACTAGTGCTGTCCCCAACGCTCTGCCTTCAGAGCCAACTCGCGAGCTCGCCTGCTGGTCAATGGGAATGCGCGGCATGTCTTGCGCAGTCGGTTGGCTTGCCGACTCGCCACCGAGATTAGGACTGGGTGTCGACATCTGTCGCTAGCTTCCACTGCAACTCGTACGCATCTAGCCTGGCGGCTAGCGCCTAACCTACTTCCTACCTGCAACTTGCGCAACCCCTATACTATCTTTAGTTCTCTTTTCAGCTTGCATTTCTGTCCTTTATGTGCTGCAGCAGCTGCATTAACCTCCCAGCACTGCGTTTTCCACTTACCTTATGATTTCTACTCTGCTTTAGCTCTCTCGGTAGATCAACAATGGAACAACTTCAATTAGCAATATTACGAATATCATAATAAAGCATAAGTCTGGTTTTAGCGCATTTCAAGTGATTTCTAATTATTATTTCGTTTTAACTGCATTCTATTTCAGTCACACGGCATTTCGTACCTCGCGCCATTTGTTACTATCGGTTGATCATGTAGAACGCGCCCTTAACAAGTGAAGATGTCATCTTTCATCTTCGTCTCAATTTATCGGACCTAATCGAGGACATTATTCAAAATTTAGAATATATGCTCTGTAAACATTGCAAATTATATTTTAAGATGACATAGAACATGATTTGATAATAATACTATTCTTTGTAAATAAAATAGGTAACGTTGCTGCTGAATATGTAGTCAGTCGCGGAATCGAGCGTATTTTTATCTAAACGTAGACTCAAATTGAGTTTAGCTTCTACCTATTTATTCTATCTATTTAATATTAAATAACTGGTCTATGAATCTTCGCGAAAAGCTAGCCCCACTACCAAGAAATACAAAATCCGGTCGGCTACGTTTACCGAGAAGGCTCTTTCACTCGTCACACTTTTTCGTCGGATTAGTTCCAGTCGAATTTTTAGATAAAGGTCTGTGCTCACTTGGCTCGGATGACGTAAACTTTAGGCGAGACAAGAATCTACTTTCCGGCACTAGTCGGATGATGCGCTACCAACGCTTCGAAATAGCATTGTCCGTTTGAAATATTCGAGCACGGGTAGACTCATTGTAAGTGGCGGGAGTTAATAATCCAGGGAAAAGCGCGTGACGCTCAGAAGGAAAGAGAGCTGGGGCCCTTAGACAAATGCGAGCGATGCATCGAACGGCGCTATTGTGAATAGCGAATACAAGGGGTGGAGCAGCTAGCAGGAAAGAATATTGCAAGTTGATATGGAACACAGTAAGGTATGTTCGAGAGCGAGTTAGGCGGAAGTGGACAAGCGCACCACTATGGCGTGTGTCGGGCAGACGTATTGCGAGCGGCAAGAGAGTTTTGACGCGCAGAGGCGGCCAAAGGGGGATCGGCTGCTGCGATACGTAAGCGAGTCCGGAGCGACGCTCATCGAGAGCACAGGACGGCGTCCTTCGGAACTGCAAGAGAAACCACTCAAAATGGTAATGGGGCCAAGTTCAAAGAGACGTTGTGCTTTGCGCTGGACAAATGTTCCGTGTCCAGAGCGCAGATCGGGTGCATCGGAAACAGGAAGCGGGCGCTGCTTGGGCGTTCACTGCCCGCCCGTGAGTGAGATTCCCGGCGGAACAGCGCGAGCTCGACGACTGCTCTTTCCAGCTCGCGGCGCCGAATAAATTGGGAAGTGTGTCGCGCTCGCTCGAGTTCGACCTGCAGAGCTCGCGGGCCACCTACGGTCGGAGCGATTTCTCGCAGGCCAGAGTGGGTGTGCAGCGCGGTCAACAGTGAGCGATGGATGGAGCGAGCACGCGGGCCTGATAAACAATTCAGCCGAGCGAGCTCAGCTCCCGCGCGGCGGCAGCTTGGGCCTGCTACTGTTGCGCTGTAGTCGAACTAACCGCGTCTAATGGAGACATACGTCCGTGCCCCACGACTTGCTACACACAGCAGCCGAATGAAATTTCCGATACCCTCCCCTTCTCCCCCCAGCGCAAGCACATTTCCACGCTTCGATAGCTTCATTATTTCGTCCTCTCTCTCGCCAACCTGCAAAATTCTAAAAGTAGGATTATCCCCGAGGAAAAAGAATTGGTTTAAACGGCTTGTTGCATTAATAATTCATCGTATATGTATGATGTATCAAAGGAGTTTGCAGCCAGTGCAAGCCCTTGGCTTTGATAAATCCTTATTCCAGCCAAACTTTGGAATTTGTGCGCGCAATTATGCTAATAGACAAGCCAGAATTTCGTATGCTTCTCCTTCTCTCTATCTCTACCTCTGCTTTGCCTTCCTTATTCGCGCGCCACACGCTCTCGACTACTGCTGCACTTGCGAAAGCCATCTCGCCACTGAAAATTTCAGCGACACACTTTCGCGCTCGGCCGCTTCTTTATCTTCTTTCAAATGATCGCGAGCAGCTCCGACATATGTACCGATAAACTTTGATTTCGATCGAAAGCTTCTCTTTCGTGAACACAGCAGACATATACGATGTAACGTGGCTATCCGAATAAAGAGCTATAGTCGATGAATTGCATTCGCGTCGTTACATCGTCAGTGAATTCATTAGCGTTCTAATGAATTTAGTCAAAAAAATGCACGCTAACGCCACTTGCAGGATTAACTACGAGAAGAAAAAACAATAACCTTGGCCATCTTCGCAAATAGGTATTGCGCGATAAAAAGGATTATTTATCGTAGAGAATCCGAAAGAGAGGGTCGCGCACGCGAATCGAGCTTTTTCCCAAGATTGCACGGTCCAGCGGTGGGGAATTGGATGTTGGAAAGATAGTGGGATTTACAGGCGAGCCCGAGGACCCCCTCCCCTTTGAAAATCATTACTCGTATAATTGCTCTGGCTCCAATTCATACCTGACTCGATTTATACGCTGATTCGATTGCGCAATAAGATGCTCGCCACTGACGTCAGCGTGTATTTATTTCTTTGAATAACTTTGCATACATTTTATTACTTTGCCATGTTCTGCGAAGAAGCCATTTTATATATCAACGATAGACTTTTTGGTATTTACATTGAAGTTATTGCACCAATGAAATCTGTCTACCCATCGGACAGAGACTGTACATGTGCTGCATTTAAATAATTGTCTTAGGAGAGAGAAATTCGGTGAAAACGGCAGCAGAACAGAGAGAATTGCGATTGTCAGCGAATATATTGGTTTTATTTAAAGAAAAATTAGAAAAATAAGGTCTATGCGAGTATTTACTTCGACGACCGATTATATTTTATTTGGAAGAAACGAGGACATCGTGGACGTTTTACTCGAGAGGAGAGAGCATACAATACAGCAAAGATTTCGGTCTTCAAAGAAAAGACACAATTTTCCAGATAGTTGACTCCGTAATAATGGGAAATCGGGAGGTGATTAGGAAGCAAGGATGGCTTTGCGCTAAAATATTGACCGGTGCTCAAGTTGTTTACAGTTATGACAAGGCTGGAGAACACTTGAAAAGCCAGGTAAAATCGAAGCAGGGTATAATAAAATGAGATCCGACTAGTATATTCGAGCCAGAGAAGTGGAGCAGCCGAAGCAGACTTTACGGCGAGTGGGAGTAGGAAGAAGGGGTTGGGGTCAGAGGATCTACGAGCTGCGCACGTAAGTTGCTTTTGAAAATTTATGGGCTTCGGTGCGCGGCGGTGAGCTCGAATTCGGGCGCTCTGCGCTAGGCTCTTCAGTGGCTGATGGAGGGCCGAGGATACGAGCAACCCCCATTAAATTTAATTATGCACTAGACTCAGTGGCCAGCGTGGCAGCAATTTGGCATCGCGGAACTCATAGGCGAGCTCTCCAAGTGTCCACTCGGTCCACTTTGTTCCAGTTCCAGCCGGGCGGCGCAGCGAACTAGCTCTCGACGCTGCTCTTACGGGTGTACGTACCGGTCGTGCTGCTCGATCGTCATTTTCGGCGGCACCGCGAGCGTCCCGTCGGCGGTGCTGCCGCTCGGCAGGGGGTGCTCGTGGTAGGTCGCGGCGAAGGTGGCCAGTGCCGGTACATCGCGGGCTACCTCCTTGTCGCCCTCGTCGGCCATGGCCCGGCGCGCGCAATACGAATTCGCGGTCTGCAGCGGAGAGCGCGCGACACCAACTGAGGCGCGAGGGCCGCGCGCTCTCAACGCTCGATCGCGCCGTTACGTGATCCGCGCGATCGGAGGGCGAGCCGCTTCCGGCCCATCGCAATTGTGCTGCACGCCGTGTTACGTCCAGTACAGTAGCCACACTCGCGTACACCACGTTCACTGCGATGAAGAGCGAACAGAAATTAAGAAAACCTCCACAAACCGGTTGTCTCGTCGAGCCGGCTACGGAACTGGCTCCTTCCTCCTTTTCTTTCTCGTCTGTGCAGTGTGCATGCATACACGTACACGCGAGCCGGCGACAAAGCGCGCGCGCGCGCGAGAGAGAGAGAGAGAGAGAGAGAGAAGACGCGAGCTTCTCCCCCGGGTCTCTGTCTTGGCTCGATGTCTCAGAATTTTTGCATGAGACGCCGACGCCGCGGTGGTGGCGGCCCGTTGATCTCATGCACGCGCGCGAGAAATTGCGAATTCTCCGGCTGAGAAAAGGCTAAAGCGAATGACGTCACTTGTTCAACATCCCCGCTGCTGCTGCTGCTGCTGCTGCTGCTGCTGCTGATGCTCGGGGATGCGCAAATGCAATTGAAACGCCTCGAGCCTTACCGAAACGTTTCTTTTCGCTCTCTCCTTCCCCTACGCGATTGCTTTGGGCTTTATTCCTTTATTTCTCCGCCGTCCCCTTTTCTTTTTTTTTGGCTGACTGACAATCCAATAGAAGCTTTGCATTTCTCATTTCCCTCCTAAAAGTCGTTGCCGACTAATCGAATTCGCACTACACGGTTAACGCGATCGATCGCTGCTCGCGCTCTGTGAAACTGAAGAAAAATATGATCTGTATCCAGGGCGTGAGAGCAAAAAAGGAGTGAAAGGTAGAGGGGAATCCTGCTGTATTCAGGAGGAGCCGCAAGAGATTTGGCAAGTGAGCCCCGGAGACGTTGTAGCTTCTTCGAACACTTGAAAAAAACAATCGAC